ATTATTAGCAATGTTCTTCCGACGTCTGATTTCTTTTTAAAAAATGCGTTTCTAAAGTGCATAAACTTTTGTGATTGACTTTATAGCCAATACATCCTTAATTGAGTCGGCTCAGAACGAAACATACCTGTACAGGTACAGAGTTCAAGCGCCTTGTTACCAGGCCTGATTTCCTTGTGACCTGCAACGAACTCCATTCCACCATAAGTGCATGGACACTGGCCAATCGGTATGCATTCACCATGGACGTCCAACGTTTGTCCTTCAGGACAGTTGCAGCCCTCCACGCACTCCTGTCTGCAGTCCTGATAAGAAGATATGTCCGCGCAGGATCTACTGCAGCTGTTCCCACAGATCTGATACACTTGGCTCCCCGGACAGTGGATCTTACATTCGTCCACGTTCTCACGCCAGAGAAGATTTACCCCAGCCGCGGCACACTCCTTGGCGTATGCAGCTAACGTGGGACAGAGACAAGACGCGGCCTCCACTTTACAAGAGCACATATCATACAAACAGTCTTTATAAAACGTTTCCGGATCCACGTGCCAGTGACAACCGGCGAAGATGTCACTCATTAAATAGGAACAATACTGCTTGGCGTCGGTCTTCCTCTGCGGATCTATGTCGCATGGATGGTTCGACTCCTCCTCAGGGACATCCGGACAAACCTCGTCCGATTTCCATTTATTCGCAAAAGAGATAGCCGTGTTCTCGACATCGCCCTCGGGTGTAATGAAGTCGTCCTTCTGGTTCTCGGAGAAGGTGCCACAAAGTCCTTTGGTAGATCCATGGAATTCAGCAGGGGCATTTATATAAACACGGGAGATCCCGTCCCACCATACGTTCAAACCGTTTGGTAATTGAACAACTATGAATATACTACTCGCAACGCGTATCCTGATACCATTCACAATAGTAGGGAAGACGGATAGATCCTCTCCGTCGAGCAATACCTGTCTGTGCTGCTTCAGTTTTATCGACATGCGTTTGTAATTAATTGTAACTGTCTTGGTGCAAGACGGAGCATCGGACGGAACCAAACCCATGGCTTCTGATATCGCGCCGGAGCAATGAACGTTCTCTCCCTCGATACTGTAATCATCTCCCTTCATCAGATAGTATTTGCATTTGCCCATGAAGTCGTAATGCCTGCCGTCGAAAGTGGTGTAATGAGGATCTCCGATCACGGAACATCTCGCAGCGCATCTCGCCTGCGTGCATATCCATTTTCCAGCGGAACACGTGCACGTGTTGCAATCCTTCTGCACGCTCTTCCCAGGCTTGAACAACTTGCCACGCAATCTACACGGGCATTCTTCTAGAGTGATGCATCTTCCTTCGTGCGCGACTGTACCTTCTGGACAGAAGCAACCTTCCTCGCAGTTCTCACTGCTTGCTTTCTTCTCTGCCTCTGTCCAGCAAGAAGATTCAATCTTCGGACCGCACGACATGTACACTCGACCTCCGTCACAAGTCATGGCTACAATTATTGGAAAATAATTTTAACACTAGAAAGACTGAAACTTAGTATATACCTATATTGCCCAAAGCAGTAAAAATTACTGCAATG